CAGGAGAAGGTCAGGCAGCGCCTGAACTTCTATGTTTTCCCTAACGTGCCTTTTGATCTTGTCTTCTCTATGCAGTGGCTTGAGCCCACTAACCCTAGGATCGACTGGCAGATCCCTAGGGTTGAGCTCCCTGACTGTAGAGGGGACTATCAGCCTTGTGTGTTAGCTGATGAGTACCACCCAGTCAGCAGTTGCTATTGTTTGAGGACACAAGTTTTTCCAGCTCTGTCGCCAGACTGCCCACACACGTCTGTTTGTCGCATATGTGAAACAGACTGGTGTGGATGTTGCTCCTTGTCCCTCACCGATTCAACAGGTTTTGGACCGGTTCCCAAGCCTGATGCAAGAGCCGACTGGACTTGTCCGCCGGCAGACCCAGCACAGGATTGAGCTCCTGCCAGGTGCGGTCCCTCCTAAGGGTCGTATCTACAGGATGTCCCCTGCTGAACTCGATGAGCTCAGGAGACGGCTTGAGACCCTGACCAGCAACGGTTGGATCAGACCGAGCACTTCTGAATTTGGGGCTCCAGTTCTCTTTGTTCCAAAGGGAAATGGAGAAATCAGAATGTGCAAAGACTATCGAGGTCTCAACAAAATCACTAGGAAGTCGACAGAGTCCCTTCCTAGGATTGATGATTTGTTGGACATGGTGCAGGGTTGCACAATTTTCAGCAAGATCGATCTCAAATCTGGCTACCACCAGATTGAGATCGTTGAAGGCGATGTTCATAGGACTGCCTTCAAGACCAGATACGGTATTTATGAGTATCTGGTCATGCCTTTCGGTCTTTGCAATGCCCCTGGCACATTCCTGACAGAGATGCATTGCATACTCAGGCCTTACCTGGATAGATTTGTAGTTGTGTACCTAGATGACATCCTCGTATTCAGTCGATCTATCGAGGAGCATGTGCAACATCTGTCTCTAGTTCTCCAGGCACTACATGATGCCCAGTATAAGATCAACAGGGAAAAGTTCTCCTTTGGACTGACTTCTGTGACTTATCTGGGATATGTGATCTCTGGGGAAGGGCTAGCTCTTGAAGCAACTAAGGTTGCTGCGATTCAGGACTGGCCACAGCCTACCACAGTGCATGATGTCCGGTCATTTTTGGGTCTTGCCTCCTATTACAGAAAGTTCGTCATGAACTTTTCTGCTATTGCTGCACCCCTAACTGACCTCACAAAGAAAGACACTCACTTTCTTTGGTCATCAGACTGTCAGCAGGCTTTTACACGCCTCAAGGAGGCCTTGATGCGTGCACCTGTTCTGAAGTTACCTGACCCTACCCTGCCCTTCGTACTAGCTACTGATGCTAGCCAATATGGGGTTGGGGCAGTACTTCAGCACGACAGTGGGCATGGTCTGCAGCCTGTTGAGTATATGAGTAAGAAGATCAAAGTGAAGAAGCTGCAGGATTCTACATACCAGAAAGAGTTGTATGCTCTAGTGTCAGCGCTCAAGCATTGGAAGCATTTCCTCATGGGTAGGCACTTCAAGATCTACTCAGGTCACTCCACCTTACAGTGGATGAAGACCCAAGGGGAACTGAACGACAAGCTTGCTCGCTATATTCATTTCATTGATCTCTTTGACTTTGAACCGAAACACAAGAAGGGCTGCTACAATCGTGTAGCAGACGCCCTTTCTCGTTGGCCTGACGCTCTCTATCTGATCTCCTCTACTCATACTTTTGGGGAGAGCACCCGTCATACCATTGCCCAGTTCTTGCCAGAGGACCCGATCTTCGGCCCTATAGTCAGGAATTTGCAAACTGATCCGGCATCTGAACCATGATATTTACTGGTTTCAGGCCTGTTGTACACCTGCAGCAGAGGAGAGGAGCGTTTGTGCATTCCCCAGGACCGCCACCTGAGAACACTCATAATGTCTGAGTGTTATGATGGTCACGGCCACTTTGGGGCCTTAAAATCGTTGGCAGCCCTGTCGCAGCGATTCTTCTGGCCAGAGATGAGGACTGATCTGATGCACTATGTCTGTGAGTTATGCCAAAGGAATAAGGTTGTACGTCGACCTCCCCTTGGCCTATTGCACCCACTTCCCATCCGTGATGCACCTGCACAGTCAGTGTCTATTGATTTCACTAACCTGCGGAGGACTACTCCTCGCGGTATGCATCAGGTCATGGTATTTGCGGGCAGGTTTTCTAAATATGCAGAGTTCATTCCACTGCCAAAGGAAGCCAGAGTCCCGGCCGTCCAGACAACCTTTGCTGACTGGTGGGTTACACACCATGGGCCACCCACCTCTATCGTCAGCGACCGAGATCCACGCTTTCGCAGCAATGAATGGCAGTCCTACTGCGAGGACTACCTTCATTCCAGACTGGACATGACCTCTGGTCGCCATCCTGAAGCCAATGGGCAGGCTGAAGTGATGAACCAGATTCTCTTCCAGTTGCTGCGTCCGGTGATCAGCCCTGATCAGCAGGACTGGGATCTCCACTTAGGACAGGCACAGCTAGTGTACAACACGTCTGCACACTCCTCCACAGGGTTCACCCCTTATCGGCTGCACTGGGGACGTGAACCACGGCAGCCTCATCGATAAGGCTACCTCTAGACTTAAGCCTGGGACTGCAGCGTTCACCAAGCAGTACGAGAGGGATATCGAACATGCCAGAGTTAACCTACTCAAAGCCCAAAAGGCTATGATTCAGCAGGCTAACAAGCATCGTCGACCATCCCCCATTCGCGTTGGTGACTGGGTCTGGGTACTCAGTTTTGAGCTATCGAGAGAGGAGGCCATTTCGCCCAAGCTGTTGCCGCGTTACATGGGTCCATGGCAGGTTTTGGATACAGTGGGAGCTGACCCTTTCGGGCCATCTTATCACGTGGACGTCCCACTGCATCTACAAACCTACCCTGTCTTCCATGGATCTAAGCTGCTGCATTTTACCCCAACTGATGCATTTCCAGACAGGCCTCCTCGGTTTGGTCCCCCTATCCCTGGGAAGGGGTATGAGGTGGAATCAATTGAGGATGAGTATGGTACAGGCCCGGATAAGGAGTACCTTGTGAAGTTTCTTTACCAGCCCCATACTGAGGACCGCTGGTTCACTCGCAAGGAACTTCTGAAAACAGCAAAGTCTGTTGTCCTCAAATATGAGGCTGCGCAGAAAGGGATTATCCCTCGACGCTCTGCACGCCTACGCCCCTACCTCGGAGGTCCTCGCTCCGGGGGAGGGTAGGTCTGCAATAACTTGCTGGTTCCGAGTTGCCTGTATCCTCTCTCTGACGAGGCTGTACCATAGGTAGGGACAAACTCGGAAGTTTGTTTGGCTGAGGGCTAACCGAGAGACATACCTGTAAGGAAAATTCATGAGGGACATATTTCTAAATATAGGAAATATGGGCTCAGTACTAACTCGAATTTCCTACAGCTGCCCTAACTGCAAATAGCAGACCCGGGCTACCCCTAGGACATACAGGCCCAATGGGCCTACGCTGATAAACGGTCCTATAGCCTATAGCCGGGTAGGGAGAGGCCCTAAGGGCCGAAACAGAAACGGTACCGGTCGGTCAGTCAATCCGGTCTAGGTCAAGTCTAGGCTAGGGTAGAGTATAGATAGGTTGAGAGGATCGATCTAGGGCTTTTGGCAGTTGACACTTCGTGGTGGAAGCTGCTGCGCACGCGGCATCAGGTCGTGGTGACTGATATATGCGTGGGAGATGGCGGACATATCCAGACCTTCGGAGCGCTGACCAGACTAGGGCCAACGCTGTCCGCTCTGACTCTCTGGGAGTCAAAGCGGTCTAGGCTATTAGAGGTCTGATGCGTGGGAGCACGTGGTGCACTGCTGACCCTCCTCAGGAGTAGGGTCCCACTGGCGATGCAGCCATAGCTGCATCTTCTTAGAGATTATCATCGTCTGGACTTCATCTTCATCAGAGACCGTTGGTGCTGAGTTTCTTCCCCATCATCTGAGTGGCGATTGGCTCTGGGAGCCTGTTTCATTTTGGTGCAGGCCAATGAGTTGGATGTCAGGGTGGCGTTGGGTGTTACCTGGGGTTCTGGTGCGATTTTTTAGCTGTTCGGTGTGTGTGGGGCTGAGGCGCTACCCCTCTCAGGGTAGCGCAACAGGTTTCTGAGGTTATTCAGTGAAAACGACGCTCCGAGTTTAATAAACAGTTGTAAGACTGTGTTCAAGTTGTCACCTCTTCATTGATTTCTGGCTGTGATCTCTCGGTTGTCTTCTATGAATGATTGTTGGGACTTCTGTGGAGAGAATCCACTATGTTGTGTATGCTGTCACTTCGCTCTTCTGAGTCTTCCGCTGCGTTCCTTTTGTTGGGCGGTGTGACACTCCACTACCTCTCCCCTTCCTTCTTTGCATGTATGGGCGTGTACGGGAGTTCCTGTGAGTGAGCGTTGTTAAAATTTCAACGGACAATCATGTTCATAACAACTGTAGGGTTACTGCTGCTACAACAGCCATAGCCAGGGGTACGAGGTGGCCAGGAGGAAGAAGAAGACTCCTGCATACTTCGTTGAACACTCGTTTTTGGTTGCTCGGGGTTGTTGTAAACACGGTTATGATTCTTGGGAACAAGTACTCTGATTGATTGGAGGAGGACGAGGGATTGCAGAATTGAAATTCGTTTTTCAATTCTTTGTGTACTTCAAGCTTCTGTTGTGCATATCTTCTTTTCGGTTTTGAGTGGATTTGCCTCCTTCGAATTGAAATTTGTTTTTCAATTCTTTGTGTACTTCGAGCTTCTGCTGTGCATATCTTCTTTTCGGTTTTGTGTGGATTTGCCTCCTTTGAGTCGACTCTGCAATTGCATGCGTGAATGGGAACTTGTGAATTCGTGGTGGATTGGAACTCAATTGGGTACATAACATGCCTATCGCCCAATGTCGCTTAAAGACTGATCGAACAGCCTGCCTTCATCATGCACCCAGTGTGTGCCTCATTCTCAGTACCTCACTTCTCTGTCCTTCTCTCTTCTTCCACCAACGACCTCTGCACTTTCACCTTCCAGCTATGGAAGGCTCAAACAGACTATGGTTGGCACTCTCCTCCTCCTTCCTCGCTGCCACCCGAGCAGCTTCCCCAGGGCAACAACGCTCAGCTAATACTACAGCAGCAATGCCGCATTGGCACAATGCCCAAATATGTGTGTCTGTGCCGCCTCCTCACTTTTGTATTGGATTGCGAGGCAGGAGAGCCTGCGCCCAGGATGTGCCCTGTCCCAGTCTCGTGCACCAGGGCCCTTCCAGAAGTCCACACTGCAACTAACTCATGGGCTGGGATAGGTGCTGCACATGTGCTAGCCAGAAAAGGTCTTGCTAACGCCGGGGTCCCCTTCTGCTCACGTTGACCTTTTGGTCGGTTGCATTTTTGCCAGGTCCACCTTCACTTATGGCCAGGAGGGCCTTTTCTGGCTAGCTGAGGTCCTGATTCCTCGCATTCCTTTCCGGTCAGGTTCTAAGGCCGTCTAAGAGTCATCAAACCAGCCATTGCTGCACTTCTGAATTCTGCTCATATTGATGTACAATCCGAGATGTAATCTTTTAACAGCTCGTCCCTTCTCAACCGCTGATCCTCTTTGGGATCCAAGTGATGAGTGAAGGCCACCCTGTATTGCATTTGCAGCTTCACGAGTCTTGCTCTCCAGGCCCCTTCGGTACCGGCATCAACTTGTGCTCAACGATCTGATTGATATCCACATATCCGTCCATGGTAGGTGGCACCATTGATCGCCGAGAGGGATACTCATCAGTCTGGGAAAAACGTAAGAGTTTTGGAGGCGTGAAAAACAAGGTAGTACAGTGGCATTAGGTTCCGTGAAATATCATGTTCTTATGTGAACTCAGAAGACATAATGATGCTGTCCTCCTCAAAGGCATCCACCATCTGCTAGAGCAAAGTCCCAGTGTCGGAGCAGAAACCCTTAGAAGGGTATCTGCTCGGGTTTCGATGTCCGGCACTGTCCGACTATCGACAATATTTTGTTTGGATGATTTGACTTGACGAGATTAATGTGTTTGCAAAGAGTTTCCTGACTAAATCTACGATCGAGAAATCATGATTTTTTACTTGAGTTCGAACGCTTGTGGCATTTGAAAGCAACAGTGTGGATAGGACGCACGACCATCGGAACGCTAAATATGAAACTAACAGCCGTGCTATTCAGAGCCTAGTGACAAAAAAAGGGTGGACGAGTTATGTATGCGGTCGTGTTGTAAAAAACATACATTGTGTTATGAACTCCGCCAGGGCTCGATCCTTAGTTTAACTTTTCGCTGTTTCGGCTGCATCCCATTTTCGGCCTGGCACCCTTTTTCCAAACCCCTCCTTTCGTACCGTAGGATTTTGGACAACTAGTGCTATGCTGCAATTCGGGCACCACTTCCAAATGCCTCATTTTTCAGTTCTGCCCTCAGGGCCTTTGCAGAAATGCCCCTGGTACCGTGTCACCGATACTTATACCGGCTCCCCGTATGGTACGGGGACCATTCGGGTACCAGTTTTCAGCTGCTGTGCTCGTACTCAATGTGACTTGCACCTGTTTCGGCATTCGGAATCCAAGACTTCGACTTTGTGTCTTTGCCACTATGTTTGCGTCCGACCCTCGGTCGTGTCGAGTTGGTGAGTGGGTGTGTGTGCTCTCACTCTCTCGCTCTCTCTCTCCTCCCCCTCGCCTCTCCCTGTCTCCCTCAGCGTCACACTCGTCACATTGGTATCGGAGCGATTCGAACCCGCCCGACCCACCCTGCTTCGTTGTCACCACCTGGCCATCATCAACGTCAACGTCGTGATCATCGCCGTCGTGCCATGTCATCATCGTCATCGTGCCACGTCATCATCGTCATCTTCACGATCGTCGTGCCACGTCATCATCGTCATGCACGTCGTTCTCGTCGCCACGTCGTGCCATCCTCGTCATCGTCGTTGCTACCCCACGCAGATAAGTAATTGACGACAATTTTCTTTTTTTTATATTATCTTTCTCCTTCTTCGTCTCCTTCTCCCTATCCTTTTTCTTTTTCCTCTTCTTCTTTTTCTCCTCTTCTTCTCTTACTCCCCCCTTGCCCCCGATTGCAATCCCGACTCTACCCCCCCCCGCGCTATCTTTCGTGCGACCCTTACTCCCGTCGCCCTTCCCCCGCCCTCGACTCCCAACGACCTTTCCCCGCCCCCGACCCCGCGATCTCCCCGTCCCTTTCCAGCGCTGTCGAGCGCATCGGTCCGGCACCGCACAAGGGCAGCGCAGGACCCTCCCCGCCGCGTCACGCAGGAGTTGGAATTAATCCTCGTCGCAAATACACATGGAGCCTCTGCAAGCCGCTCCGGCCGAGTGCGCCAGCCATACCTCTCGCGAGCCCCTACGACAGGATAGGGCCTACACGAGGCACGACTTACCTCCACCTTACGGGAGTTGTCACCTCCCTTCGGTGGGCGTATCCCCGCCGAGCTACCAGTCCACAGTACGAAAGTTGATCAGTTGCAATCCCAAAGGTGGACCAGCCGAGGGCGTTTCTCGTTTGCTGTAGCACAGGGGGTACGTGCGGTATTACGCCTCTATCGAACCCGCACGCAAACCGGCATCTTGGGGGGCTGAGGTCCCAAGCGCGACTCCTCGCCGGTCGACTAGGACTCATCCCACACGCCACGCGCACACCACTATAAAGAACATAAAAATAAAACGCACACACACGCACATATACATGTACTGAACGACACTGAACAAACAACGCGACAACACTCCTAGTCCCTTAGTAGCCATCCCATAACTTTCCGATACGGAAATCGGATAGGCGTCCCGCGCGAGACTTAGTATAAAACCGCTCGGACGCAGGGCTAGCTCATACCGACTTGCAATGCAAGCGTACGCAAGCGGTCGCAGTGCTGACGTACTATGTAGTACCCATACTTATGCGGTACTCGTTAGTCTCGAGGGTCGCGTTCGACACTCAAGTGTCGGCTGACACGCGCCTTGAGGGAATTGACCTCCCGACGTTGGACAACCGCCAAGTGCAGTTGACAACCACACCCTCTTCTGCACCCTGCAGAGAGTGGGTGGTATACAGGTTCATACCTGTGGTGGCACTCATCTCTTATTGCCCTGGAAACCAGCTCCATCACCCAGGGTCTGGAAAGAAGTCAAGGGGTTTCACTTTGACGGCTGCCACGGACTACAACGTCCAACTATCAAACTTAATAAGCTAAATCAATCAGTAAATAAATAAACATCCACACTCAGATATCAAATCAGGATTCGAGATAAAAATAAAAGAAAGGGGGAAACATAAACCCATCAGGTATGCAGATCGTGCGACACATGGTTGTCATTCTCACTGTCTCCAAGGTATGGTCCATATACCAAGCTCCAAAATACTAACCCGCATAAAACACAGGCACACACAATAGCCACATTGCCATACACCAATGTGATCAACTTTACTGTCCCCTGTAACTCACACCACGCCTCACACACTCAAGCCCCAGTAAACCCTCAAAGAAACATATCAATACTCAGGGCTAAGGCAATCAAGTTGAGGTACAGGTATAAGCATAGTTGTGTCGTGAGCCGACGAGTCGGCGATCAACCAACCGACCTGTTATCAGTGATAACACAAGATAATCTCTGTGAGATCAAGCTGAAACTAGTCCAAATCTTGGATCGAAGGTCCAAAGGAGACCTATATCATACGACAGGTCAACGTCCAAGCTAAATCGTCAATGTACGGAGATCAAATCCCCATGACACGTTCTCACTCAAGACTCTCATGATAACCAGCCTAGGTCTACCCCTAAGCCAGTGCCCAAAGAAAGGTAGACTTATGGCAGAATCTCCTCCATATAGAGTGAATTTACCAGAACACCACCTGTCAAAAAATAATCTATCTCCTCTAAACTAGGAAAATTTCGGCAACACTTCCCGTAGGAAAAAGTGCCTTCTCAGAGTTTATATCAGCCTAAATATGAAAACAGAAATAATCTTCGACTTTCCAAAGTCAAATTTTGTCTCACTCCCTGAATTAGCAAAAATTTGGGCAGCACTCCCTTTAGAAAAGGAGACTTCCCAGATGTTTACTAAGCCATATATAAAAATTAGACAAGTTGAACTTATGAAAAATCAACTTTTGACTAACTTCTTGGATTTGCAGAAGTTTCGGCAGCGCTTCCCGTAGAGAAAGTAGCTTACCAAAAGTTATACAAGCCAAGTTCAGAACCTAAAATGACTTTGACTTCTCAAGGTCCAATTTTATCTAACTCCCTGAATTAGCAAAAGTCTGGGCAACAGTCCCTTTAGAAAAGGAGACTCTCCGGATTTCTTACTAAGTCATATATGAAAGTCTGACAAACTGAACTCTGAAAAGACAAAATCTGACTAACGCCTTGGTTTTGTAGAAATTTCGACAGCGCTTCCTGTACAGAAAGTGGCTTACCAAGATTTATTCAAGACCAAGTATAACAAATGATCGCAAAAAATGCAAAAATTGATCTAAGTAAAATAAACTTAGCTCAGAAAATGCAGGAATTGAAACTAACTCCTATGGCTCTAGCAAGTGGCGAGCAACTAAAGCAACTACCTATCAAACTGAAACTCAGACTAAGTAGTAGCGTCACTCAGTCGCATGCAAGCCAGACCACAAAGGTAAGTACTCTCACCATCCCAAGTCAACCTGGACAAACAATAGTTCGTAGTCTTTCAGTGATTTATCCCTTTATACCCAACTTCCATAAGGCATAAAGCTAGACCACCCAAACTTATGGAACATGTCTAGCTCAGCCATGGAGTATACACAAACACAGGGCACAACAACTTTTCTCTTCTTTGGGCATATGACTAGGCTACCATAGTCGCCCTGAACTGTTCAAGTATCCCAACTTTATATAATTGTTTGCACTTAGTCTTTTAAGGTCGCATATAACTGAACCGATCATCTTCAGCTCAAGATTAAGTCTGCCCCTTCGTACCACAAGTTTATTTTTAATTAGTACTCCCTTCAATTGGTGATAAGCTATAGTCAGACCACCCAAACTTATGGAACCCTGTCTGACTAGCCTGTTCATAGATAATATAATAATAAAGTATAGCCAAATTATAACCTTCTGGTTCCAGCACGT